TGCTTATCGTTAGTCAATTTGTTTCTCAAACTTGTATTGATTTTACCAACAATAAATATAAATGTTAAAAGAGTTTTTCAACTTTAAGATACATCAAAAACAATTTTCGGAATCAGATAGGCGATCAATCCATGAATGATTGCCCAATATATTATATTGAAAGAGATTTGTTGAACACGGTAAACCCTAAAGGGTTGTTTGGAAGTTGAAATTTCATATAATTTATTCAGACAATACATGCAATCATAAGACTTCATCGTTTTTTGTCTCATAATGAATACATAATACATGTATTTGAGCGGAATGAGGGACCACCAGAATAATTCACTATAGATGATTGTCAATCTCAGCTTTTGGATGAGATTTTCAATCATTCATTTTTTTCAGTCAAATTTTTTGAGGGACCACCAAAATCATTCAAACTCCAAACAATGTATTTTTCAAATTCATATATTAATAAAATATATCAATCTAAAATACATAAATTAATTAAATACGAGAATTTTAACTAACAAACATGTCCTAAGTCTATTTTACCATTTTTTTAGAATATGAAAATACATCATTGTATTTTTTTTATTACCTTTTACTAGTAGGATGCTATATTTTTATAAAAAAAATTATACATAATTTATTATTTAATTTTTGAAAAAGAACACCCTTGAATGAAACATGCGTACGACACCGACTTTGGATGCATATCTCGTCGACCATAGAGGATGAGGATCCTGTACCTAAGATAATGTTTTCACCAATATTTTCAAATGAGTAGGCATTTCATAAATTTATTGAATAAGTACTTTAATATAAAAGTATTAACGACATTAATTAAATTTTGGTATAGTATCAAAATGACTATTTTAGTAAAGTTGAAATACATCTATGTACCCATAACTATCAAGTTTATGACAAAAATAGTCAAACTTTGAAAAATACACTAAAATAGTCATTCCATCAATAACTTTAACGAAATTATAGTATATGCTGACTGGACTAACGAATTTTGCTGATGTGGCATTTTTTGCATTAACTTGCTTGCCTGGATTTTTCTTATTTTATTCTAATTAAATAAATAAATAAGAAAGAAAAAATCTCTCCCCACCAACGTTTCACCTTCCTCCTTCCCAAACACTTTCCCATCGCCGACCTGCCTTATCAATTCCATTGTCCTCGCTACAATCGCCCAATCCTTTCTCAAATAGTAACCCCAAGTCGGTTGGATTTAAGTTCAGCAATTCTGTAAAAGCGAACCCGAAATTCTGCAGAATCGCCGATAAAGCACACCCACACTTTCTCAACATTGGAGAGATTAGAAGGGTAGGTGAGATTAGGGGAATCATAGTATCTTTGTTTTACGCATCAGTGACCAACGATGACAGGCAGCCAGAAAGAAATGGTGACTGGAGGAGTAACGGAGACAACATTGAATAATGTACAAGATCAATGAAATTGGGTACCTCCTCCGTCAAATGCCTCGTCCTCTTATTTTCCAGATCCGCCGTTGCCATTCCTCCGCCGCTACCCAATAGAAACTCCATTGTCTCTTACTGTCATACCACACTGCCAAAATCAAGCCCAAATCTTCTCAGCTCTCCCCATTAGGGATGGCAATAAAACCCGAACTTACGGGTACCCACCCGACCCAATTCGGTCAACGCGGGTAAAATTCGTGTTGACGGGTTTTGGTTATTCACCGGGTTGGGTTTGGGTTTAGGTAAACCCGACCCATGGGTACCCGCCCACCCATATAATTAATTTTCTCGGCATATTCAATATTCTAAACAACTAATCTTATTTATGTTTGTGGAGACATGCCTAATTTTTTGTTTCTAGTTATTTAGAATGAAGTTGATGTTATTGAGTGGAGAGTGAAAAACTTAATTGAAAGGAAGAAGTTTCGATTAATCATGTTATTTATGGATAATTTGTGATTTGCTTCAATTTTCTTGAGTTTTCTAGATTGGTGTTGAACAATTTGTGTAGTTAATTTGTGATTTGCTTGAATTTTCTAGAATGGTGTTTTATATATGGATAATTTGTATTCAGAGATTGATATTTGACTTTAATTTTGATAGGAATTTGTTATTGTGAATTTTTTACGACAAAAACCCGTGGGTACCCATGAACCCGCGGATACCTAGCGGGTTGGGTTGGGTTTGAGTTTTTCAAACCCAGTGGGTTTTACCCCGGGTTTTTTTCACGGATAAAATCATGGATTTGGGTTTGGGACCCGACCCATTGTCATCCCTACTCCCAATCTGTCAAAGAACTAGGGTTACATTCTTGGTCGAATATGGGTTATTCAATTTAGGGGTTTTGGATGAAGAACTGGAGAACTGGGGTTGGGGCTTTTTCTAGGTCTGAGTGATACAGTGAAGAAGGGTTATGGTTTTGGGGTTCTTCCTATTGTGGGTCGGCTGTGGTAGAGGAGGTGGAGATGCGAGCGCCGGCGCCGACATTGGTGTAGCAACGGCTGGGGTAGTGGTCGTGGTCGTAACATCGACACGACAACGACAAAGGTGGCGGAGGGCGTCGGGATCTGGGGATGAGAGGATGTTAGCCGAGGGGGAAGAGATGCGAGCAACGGCGGTGTAGCAGCGGCTGGGTTAGTGGTCGTGGTCGTGACATTGACAATGACAAAGGTGGCAGAGGACGCCCAGAGCTGGGGATGAGAGAATGTTTGCCGATGAGGAAGAGATGCGAGCAACGGCGGTGTAGCAGCGGCTGTGGCTAAGGGAAAGCTAAGCGGAGTGGTAGAGCGGTCAGAGATCAATCCAGGAAAAAGATTCTAAAAATCAGAGACCTGGTGGCAGGGAGATTATGTCAAACTGATAGGGGCATTGAATGGGATGGAGAACTTATGCAGAAATTTAAAATTAGCAAGGTATGGCACAACTTGAGACCCAGAGGTGGTCTAGTGCAGTGGTCTGGTTTGGTTTGGAAGGGTGGTATCCCTAAGAATTCAGTGCTGACTTGGCTTGTTTTGCTTGATAGGGTTAGCACACTAGATAAGATTAGACGCTGGAACCCAACTGTTTGCACCCTCTGCCCTCTTTGTGGCAGTTCAGAAGAAACAAGAGACCATATTTTCTTCTTGTGTGTTTTTGTGCAGGAAGTTTGGCGAACAGTCTTCCCAAGTTCCTGGCAGTTCCCTTTGGCTGGCTCGCTGGACCAGGTAGTGTTGCAAGCAGTGCAGAAGCTGGGGAAGTGTAGTGTCGGCAGGATTCTGTGGTGCTTGGTAATAAGTGAAGTATGGAGAGAGCGTTGCCGAAGGTTATATGGTCAGAAAAGCCTTACAGTAGAAGAATTGACTCACAAGATGCAGCAAGTTTTGGAAGCAAAAGTGCAAGGAGATCCGGGGTTTGCAAGCTCTCCTGGCGCTCGAAAACTGTGGTATATAGGGAGTAGATAGTTGGTAGTGTGTGTACAGTCTCCTGTAAAAAAAAATGTTTTGTTGTTTAAAGGCTGACAAGCCTTAGTGTGGTTTTGTAAAACTCTAATCGTATTTTGATGAATAAATCCACCCATTCATCGAAAAAAATATATTTAAATTCATTGGTGGTACTTCAGTTTATTGAAACCGTTCACGTTTAGTCACTCTCCGTCCAACTTCGTTAACTTTTGCTTACGTGGCGGTAGTTGACCGTTAAATGTGTGACGTGACAATTTAAAAATAATAAAATAATTAAATCAAATATTTTAAAATTGTCATCTCATTTTCACCTCATTATCACTTTTATTTAAAATAAATAAAAAACTCTAATTTCTTCTAATCCCCAATACCAATACTCCCCGCCGGCAGCATACCCCGCTGTCACTACCGCTTCCATGAAACCCGCCATTGATTCCGGGATCGAGGGGAGAAATTAGCGAGAGAAGGAATGGCGCCAATTTTTTCACTCTCCTCTTCCTCTCCCAACCCCTCGTCCTTATTTTACTCCAGCGACGCCTCGCTTCTTCCACCGAATTTCATTCCTCACACCGCCTCCCGTCTTCCCTCTGCCGCTGGCTACTCAGGCCGGAGTATGCTGCCGGCGGGAAATCAGAACGAGGGGCACGGAAACGGTGTGTGCTTCCTTTTCTCCGCTTTCCCGAAAAAAACTCTTCGATCTTCATCAATCACAATGAATAATCATTCAATTCCTTGCCAAAAACAATGTCTAACTCTGCTCAACGTTTATATTCCTAATAACTCTTAGTCGTGAACTCTGCTCTACGTTTATATTCCCAATAACTCTTAATCGTGAACTCTTACTCGGCAATTCCTCGACTCCCCTTATTCCGAGTACAACTGAATCCTCCCAAATCCTAATCGTCTCTATCTCCTACAATCCACTGTCGGCTGCAGGCCCGTGGTACCACAGCCCGCAGGGCAACAGAATCACTGCCGCCCCCTGGTTCTGATTTCCCGGCGCTTCCGTCAGTTCCGTTTCCGGTAGCGCCGGCGGGAGTATGATGCCGGCGAGGTAGTAGTATTGGGAATTAGAAGAAATTAGGGTTTTTTTTTATTTATTTTAAATAAAAGTGATAATGAGGTGGAAACAAGATGACAATTTTAAAATTTTTAATTTCATTAATTTTATTATTTTTAAATTGCCACGTCGCACATTTAACGGTCACTTTTAGAGTTGACCGCCACGTAAGCAAAAGTTAATGTAGTTGGATGGAGAGTGACCAAATGTGAACAGTGTCAATAAACTGAAGTACCACTGATGGATTTAAATATTTCGAGTGACCAAACTTGAACGTTTTTTGTAATCTCAGTGACCAACCATGCAATTAACCCCTATTTTATTGTATGATTCAGAAAGTGGCTATTATTGTCAAAACGTGCCTAGTTTTGACTATCCAAATGTATTTTGCCTTTAGTAAATTACAAAACATAAATTATAAATCATTCAGCTCTCACTTATTAAATTAAGTTCTTCCATCAATGCTCAAAACTTAATACCGTTACAATTCGACATCATTGCAATACCGAAGAATATCGGTTTCCTATGCTCAAAACTCAATACAGTGTTCTCATATTTTTTTTGTTTTCTCTGTTGTCGCAAATCAGGCATGCTCGATCTTTTAGTAATCTGAGCTTCATACCGGAATCATCATCGCATCCATATTCCATAGTATGGCGTCTTGTTACCTTACGCTGTAAAATCATATGAAAACCCAAAAATCAGAAGTCGTACGGCACTGATAGAAACGATCGACAAGATGAAGAAATGGGGGAGTTGATCTTGTATGAAAATACCGGTTGCAGTCGGTGTCCGGTTTCAGGGAGGGGAAGCTGCAATCGCTGGAAACTTTATCGACCCGGCGTTGGATAACGTCCGGGTGCCTGTATTGGTTGAGAAAGCAGAAGCAGGCCGCTTTTCTTTCAGCAGCGGTTTCGAGCGTGTCCAGATAGCCGGCAAGGTCCTGGCAGCACTTGGACGGGACGGGTATGGCTTTCGCCTTCCCGGTGACATAGTCGAAACAGCTTCCTGTTGCGTTTCTCGCCGGAGCACATTTCGTATCCAACTCCTTTTTGGCGTTGCACAATGCCGGCGCCAGCAGGCAGCACAAGATGATCACGAGGAAGAAGACCGCTGCATGACCAGTATTATAGGCGTTCTTCATCATTGATTATATGGCTGTTGATTAGGAGTGATGGGTCTTTCGTTAGATATGTTTGTGGGAGATGGGTAATTATTATACCAGGTTTAGGTTGAGTGATCTCAATTAACTGACTTGCGGGACTTGTAAGGTATACTCTTTTTTGTTCTTTTGTGAAATATATTAGAGATATGCTCTTGACGATGGAGACAGATCAGAGAATAAAAAGAATGTAGGAGAAAATGAACACTGGAAGGAAGCATAGCACAAGAGGGCAAACGCAGGCCAAACCAATTGTACATCTGCATGTCTACTGTTACATCGTGGCCGCCACGGTCAGCAATCATTCTTCACCAGCATTTGAGGTAAAAGGAGATATCTTGTTACCGCAAGCAACCTGTCCTGGAAAGAGCAAACCCAGAAACGAATGGCATAACTTCTACTGCAGTAAACAACATCATTTCATCCCATTACTAACCATTTGATCTTATCGTCACTTAAGTGCAATTAGCAGGACGAGAGGCAAGGCCTCGCTCAAGGCAACATTGCAAATGTGATCTTAAGTATGAAACGGGGAAGTGAAATTACAGTACAAACCTCTGGTGGATCCTGAGATGAGAAGCCTTTCCAAGGAAAGGATCTCAATGGATTATTGCAGGCCTATTTGCTTTTCGCTTGGATCTGGTCTTGCTGATTACCTTTGGCACATCAGGTGTCAAGGCATACATCTTCACTGCAAATAGCTCCTTAGGAAATCCTCTTTGGTCCTGGTTTAAAGAAATGTAAGAAATTTAAGTATACGTTCTGCTCCGGCTAGACAGTGGCACTGTAGGCAATCAAACTGCTCTGCAGATGAGCGATTACAACACAAGATTTGGCTGATCATGAAGTTAAAATTAATGAGTTCCCAATTATCTAGCTATGAGGGTACATCAGTGACAGAAAAAGAAAACAACAATGATTCCCCTGATTATATGGGGCTGTGAAAAGATAAAGCTAACCTTTGTTTTGTACAAATGCAGTCCACATTGACGAAAGAGGTCCCTGAAGTACAAATCAGACCTGGTGATGCTCCTGTCATCCTTGTCTAATACGAAACCTGCAAATGGATAAATTTTCAGACACATGGATTAAATACATCTTAAAAACTTTCATCCCATACTATGCTTGAACCATCTTAATTCATGGACAAAGAAAATAAAGGATAAATCTGAAAAATCAAATTTTTATTAGAGCCCATGAGGGAAGAAAAATATGGACACCATGTATTGTTGAGATCTTTGGGTTTACCTAAAGATTGTCAGAATACATGATACCATGTATTCTACAATTACATGGGGGCTGAAATACATGGCTTCTATGCCAAAACGAGACCAAAAGCACAATGTAATCTGAGAAACCATGTATTCTGAAAAACAAGAGGCAGCATACATGGTTTCCAGACTACGCCTAGTTAAATGGCACTGAATTAGTTCTAACCAGTATTCTGCACCGGGAAAGAAGAGTATCTCTTAAACAGTAATCAGTACGTATATCCAGGCTCTCTTGGTAAGAGAAGAGGACGTCATTAACAGCTAAATAGCTAGTTTCTGATGTCAGTCTTCAGTATGAAGAAATTGATCTCTCCAAGGAGCATGCTGTTCTTTGTAACTTAGTATATATAAATTCTCATTCACAAAACTTGGTTCGAGATGAGATCAAACTACTGGCAATAGGTGAGCTCCACACCTTTTGGCTTTTGCAGCACCAAATGTGGGAAGAAGAGAGCAAATCAACTAAGCATTACAAGGAACAAGTCATAATTACCACTTTTTGCAATGTTCTCTTTCATCACGAAAAAACCACCGGGCTTGAGGCCAGCCTGCAAATCACATTCATATAAATTTCATGTAGATACACTATGCCCTGTAAACCAAAAGAGAACTCCTAAAACAATTTACCTTTGCTCTGTTAAAGAACGAGACGAAGTCATTGTCTGTGAGATGCCCAATGCACCATTGAACCCAGATGACATCATATCTTCCAGTCTCAGGTGTGAATTCCTAATACCATCTCCCCATCAATAAGCTAACTTCCTGCAAAAACATAAAGAGACGAACCGAGCTTTTCTGTCTATCTTACCTGAAGTGGAACACAGAAGAAGTTACTAGCCTTATGTGTATCTGATCCCGCTGCCACATTAGCATCGCTCAGACTTTCGCGAGCAGCATCCAGAAAATGTTTCACCGGTTCCAGAAGATCAACCTGAAGACAGAGAGCAAAAATCAACAACCTTTATTCCACCTGCCCTCAGCATACAATGTAAATAGCAAGCAAAGCAAACAGACAAAACGAATACCTCATTAAAATACTTCAACAGAAGATTTTTGGTTATCCTTCCAACGCCCGAGCCACAATCTGAATCAGATTCAGCTTCAGATTATGATGGAAGAATGGATAGACGTAAGCAAACTGAGTCAGTAGTGAAAGTTGCACGATAATGGTTACCAAGCGCCACAAGAGGCCGATTCCTTCCACCGTCCACAAACAGCTCGGAGAAAAGGCTCCTAATGAAAACTCCACTGTCCTTCACATCGGCGTCATTGACATGGCCATACCCGCCCAAAACCCCATTCACTGACGCCTCCACTCCCTTCTCCGACGCGATTAGAAACGCACATAAACGTCGAAATTAAGAGCCAGAAACGGAGAAAGACCAATACTTTAGGTTCAAAATTACTTCGAAATAGTATTAGTAAAGGCCGACACTTACTTCCCAGTACGAAACGCCGTCGCGGTACCACTGATCCTTCTTTGAATCATCGCCGGTGTATTCCGTCCACATCTCGTCCGCGCTATTGAACTGGTGACCGTCAGAATCAAGTCCGGCTGTTTCCATTGCTGACAGTCTTCCAACCGAGCAACCGGAGCGGTACGAGGCGTAATCGGCACGAGCGGCGTTGGCGAGCGAGAGAGTGGAAGGGAAACGGTGGAGGGCGAGTGCGGAGGCGGCAACGGGCCGTACCATGGGCCACATAGGGCTCGATGTACAGTAAAGTCCATCTCGAAATCTTCGGTCGGTGGATGAGGAGTTTCACGGCGTCGTATTGCGAGTAGCAATGACAGTAATGGTAGGACTGAGACTGACTGGGCATTCTATGCTCGACCTTCGAAAAGGTCCATTATCCCGCGCAAAGGTGAAATATGGAGAGGAACCCGGCTCTCCGGCTGGCGAGTCTCTTGCAGTCTTGCATCGAGAAGAAATCGCATTTATCAGCAGCAAAGATCCTCCATACTCGCATCCTCCGCTCCGGCCTATACGCCGACACTTTCCTGTCCAACCGTCTGATTGAGCTCTACTCCAGATGCAACAGTGCGAACAATGCCCGCAAGCTGTTCGACGCAATTCCCAACAAGAACATATACACATGGAACGCGATCTTGAGCGAATACTGTCGGATGGGAGAGTTGGAAGATGCCTTCATGGCGTTCGACGAAATGTCCGAGAAAAACACCGTGTCCTGGAACAACTTGATCAGCGCATTGGTGCGTGGTGGGTTTGAGAGACGGGCGTTGGATGTTTATGATAAGATGGTGTTGGAAGGGTTTTTGCCCACGCATTGCACGTTGGCAAGTGTTTTGAGTGCTTGCGGTGGTTTGTTGGATGTGGAGTGTGGCAGGAGGTGTCATGGCCTTGCTGTAAAGGTTGGACTTGAGCTGAATAAGTACGTGGGTAATGGTCTGCTGTGTGTTTATGCTAAGTGTGGTTTTCTTAGGGACGCCACTCAACTGTTTAAGGATATGCCTGAACCGAATGAAGTAACTTTCACTGCGATGATGGGTGGGTTGAGCCAGACGGACAGAGTTGGAGAGGCATTAGAGATGTTTAGGTTGATGTGTAGGAAAGGGGTCCGGGTTGATAGTGTCTCGTTGTCTAGTGTTTTGGGTGTTTGTTCTAGAGGAACGAGTAGAGAAGCTTCATTCAACGACCAGAGAGATCGGTTCGCGAGCAATATTCATGGTAAGCAGGTCCATGGACTCGCAATCAAACTGGGATTTGAGAACGGTCTTCACTTGGGGAATTCTTTGCTTGATATGTATGCAAAGTATGGGGATATGAATAGTGCTGAAAAGGGTTTCGATAATATGGCCTGCTATAGCACTGTTTCTTGGAATATAATGATCGCCGGGTACGGGCAAAGCTACCAACTTCAGAAAGCCAGAGAATTTCTTCAGAAAATGCAGAACCTTGGGTTTGAACCTGATGAGGTCACCTGTATTAACATGCTCGCAGCATGTGCAAAGTCGGGAGATATGGAGACTGCAAAGCTCATGTTTGATAACATTTCTCGCCCCAGTACGAGTTCATGGAATGCTATACTATCAGGGTATCTCCAGATTGGGAACAACCAGGAAGTTGTTAAATTGTTTAGAGAAATGCAGTTCCAAAGTGTACCGTGTGATAGAACAACCTTGGCTGTTGTTCTTAGCTCTTGCACAGCTATGGGGCTCTTGGAAGCAGGAAAACAGGTTCATACTGCTTGGCAGAAGGGTTCTTGTCATAATGACTTATACGTTGCTAGTGGTCTTATAGCTGTGTATTCTAAGTGTAGCAAGCTTGAGATAGCAAAATGCATATTCGAGAACTTGCCTCAACTGGATATTGTTTGCTGGAATTCTGTTATTGCAGGATATGCAATCAATTCTTTACACAAAGAAAGTTTTACTGTTTTCAAGAAGATGCGCCAAAATGGGATGTCTCCAAACCAGTTTACTTATGCAACTGTTCTAAGTTCCTGTTCAGAACTAGGTTCTTCATCTCAAGGAAGACAAGTGCACTCGCAGATCATAAAAGATGGGTTCACCAATGATGTCTTTGTAGGAAGCACTCTTATTGGTATGTACTGCAAACGTGGTGAGGTAGATGAGGCCCGCCATTTTTTCGATATGATGCCTAGCAAAAGTATTGTTACCTGGAACGAGATGATTCATGGGTATGGCCAAGGTGGACAAGGCGATGAAGCTGTTGGCATTTACGGGGAGATGATTGAAGTTGGCGAGAAACCTGATAGCATAACCTTCATCGCTGTTTTGACCGCTTGCAGCCACTCCGGTTTGGTGGATGCAGGACTTGAAATCTTTGATTCAATGCTGCAAGACCATGGAGTAGAGCCAATTTTGGATCACTATACTTGTATAATTGATGCATTGGGCAGAGCTGGTCGTTTCCATGAGGCAGAAATCATACTGAATAAGATACCATATAAGGATGACCCAATTGTATGGGAGGTTCTGCTTAGCTCTTGTAGGCTCCACGATAATGTGAGCTTAGCTAGAAGGGCGGCAGATGAACTCTTCCGTCTGGATCCTCAAAATTCGTCCCCGTATATCCTTTTGGCCAACATCTATACTTCTCTTGGAAGATGGGACGAGGCAAATGCTGTGAGAGAGCTGATGGGTAACCGGCATATTACCAAGGATCCAGGTTACGCTTATATTGAGCTTGAAGCTGGACCACAATCATCAACTTGGGTTGAAAATCTGATGATGTCCAACAATGAATTTCTTACAGCAAATGGGCCTGACCATCTTTCTATGGTAGGATCCGTTGCATGAAGGCATAGTAAAGGGCTGTTACTTTGATGATCAAAATGGCTAGCCTGCGTATGCATGATCTGAATGCCCCAGCGCCTAGTAGGAGGGAGTTGCTGAGTGCAGGGCCGATGTAAGCTGGGAGAAGAAACCCCAAGGTTGGTGTATCTCATTATTTGCAGTGGCCTCAACCCTCAGGTCATGAATCCTGGGGGCTCTGACCAAGTACCTACAGCCATTCGATTAGCCTTTACTTCGGAACAGAATGAGGCCAAAGAGCATCTGTCAGTCAGGTCTGAATAGGGATCTCAGTCTCAGTAAAAGACATCGGATGAAGGAAATCGGGCGTTAGGGAAGAAATTTTGAGGGATTACTGCTCCATGCATAACGTCTTGTTCCAGTTACCCGAGGGAGGATTGAGGAAATTGGTTATCCTTCTACATACCGAACTGATGGGCTGTGGATCCTGATGGGTTGAATATTGGCAAGTCGATGTCAGATTGGCCTACACTCTCTCATTTGAAACTCTGGTATAAAGTGTAACATGGGGTTTTGAGTTTGACATAATTGCTGGATGCATAAGGAAGTCAGTATAGGGAGATCTCTTGCAATCGGGTTAATATATGTTGAATGGTGTTGGCTGTGAGCAGGGGTTGACACAGAATGATCTATCTTTTGGCTTGGTAGGATAATTTGATATCTTGCCTTCATTTCTATGTTAGAGCCAGAGGCGATTGCGGTCTCATGGACAGGAGCAGAGCGATATTGTGGCCGAGGATCAAATGCATAATCAGATTTGGACTCTTGACTGTAAGTGTGAAATGTGAATAAATCTTCATTGAATTGAATTTATGTCATTTTAATTCGGGTTTTTAAATATAATTTACCATTATGATATACCTTTATATCAATACAAGATAATAGTAAGAATATATTAAAATTAATATTTAGAGTTTGAACTTTAGAATTTTAATACTCATGTTTGTTCAGAGTAATATATTATATCTTGGTTTATGATATGTTATTATGTGTATTCTATTTTTAATATGCTTATTTATGAGATATCGATTTGTTAACGATTTAATAACTATTAACCCATAAAATGTGAATCGTTCACTAGTTGCTACATGATTTATACCCTGGTTCGATTCTGTAAACATTGGTGAGAATTATATCGAGAATTTAAAATAAAGTTAAAAAATAAGAACCGGAAACAAAGTTGCTTCCATTTGTTACACTGATTGGGTCAAACAAGCTACATGTAAAAGGAATATAGAAAATTGCAATCTACAATGGGAAAAAATGTCAAAAGGAAACCAAAACCACACATGTTCTGTAAGGCCGCAGTAATATTCGAAAATGCTAGTAGTGGAGAATCACATGCCTTGGCACTTCGGTAGGGGGGAAAAACGGATTTGGTTCTTTTTCTGTGGCTTTAAGAAAGGAGGATCCAAGAAAGGACCAGTAAAAGCCTTCCAGCATGGAGAAAAGACGAGCAAAACAGTCCGTGCAAATTGCAGAACATCTCATGTGGGCCGCCGGTTTTATTTGATTCTCGAACACATTCCTTCCTTTTTCTTTATTTCTAACCAACCTTCTCGATTCAATGATCAGCAGATGCTCTGCCATTGCAGCTGCCTCTGCCGCCTAATCTGCGTCACGGAAGGAAGGGTGTGCGCTTCTCTGTGGTGTCAACAAAAGTATATATTCGGTTATGGAAACACGAAGACATTCGCCATCAACGACAGCTCGAGAAGGAGGATCACGACCGATGTGCCTAGACAGAAAGAAGACCTCCGCCATTGGCGGTTCGACGCAGTACAAGAGCACCAGCAGTAATAACGAAGGAGCAAGCCAGAGTGGACGGCGGAGAAGACGGGACAGGCTGGCTGCGCTGTGCAAGAAGATAGTCCAACATTTGATTCGAGGAGAAAATGGTAGCGGCATGGTGACGGAGCCGTATCAGTCGCTGAACAGCAAGCCGTCGCCTTTGCAGCTGCATAAGACCAGCTACGGGGTGGCTGCGGCGACGAGGAAGCGAGCTCTGCTCATCGGGGTCACGTACAAGAGCTGGAAGCACAGGCTGAAAGGAACCATCAATGATGTCAGGAACATGAGGTCGTTGTTGATTCATCAGTTTGGTTTCGCCGCTGAAAACATACTCGTTCTCACAGGTAACTTTGGGTTGTCAATATATGGTATAAAATTCATTATTGAATCTCTCCAATAACTCTAGTTATTGAGACCAACTGGTTCTTGATATAGTATTATATCAGATTTTTCTCTGATCGAGATGTTTTTGGTTTTGTTCATTGTTAATTTACATTGCATGATATAATTTGTAGAAGAGGAGGAGGCAGAGCTGAGACCTACAAAGCTGAACATAAAAAGGGGCCTAGAATGGCTAGTGAAGGGATGCAGGTCAGGGGACTCGCTGGTGTTCTATTTCTCCGGCCACGGAGTCCGACAGCCGGACTTCGACCACGATGAGCAGGACGGGTTCGACGAGACCATTTGCCCAGCAGATTTTATGGAAGCCGGGTTGATTTCCGACAACGATATCAACGAAGCCATTGTGTGGCCACTGAAGAACGGTGTCACTCTTCACGCCATCGTTGATTCTTGCCACAGCGGGACCATTCTCGATCTTGCCTTTCTCTACAACAATGATCGGTAGTAAAAATCACTTCCCTCCTTCCCTTTTTCACTTCCGCTTTACTGTCTCCGCCATTAATAATTTACCGTCTCGGCCTGAACAGGAGAAAGTGGGAAGACAATCACCCTCCGTCGGGTGTCAGGAAACACACGGACGGTGGATTGGCTATCTGCATAAGCGCCTGTGAAGACAGCGAATTAGCAGTGGATACCTCGGTAAGTGATTAATGCTCATCGTCACAGTGACCATTTTGAGTGCAAGTTTTGAGTGCATGGTGGATGATGGACGTGCAGGCTTTTGGGAAGGGAATGAGTGGAGCCATGACATATATACTGGTGGAGGTGGTGAAGCAATTCCCAAGCCCGACGTATGGCGATCTGATGGAGTTGATCCACGAGGCCCTGGCTGAGGTTAACAACAGCGGATGCTTCTTATCGCGCGCCTTCAGGTCTATGTTGCATAACAAGATATTGCAGAAGCCGTTGCTGTCAGCTTCCCGACCATTTGATGTCGGCACCAAACACTTCATTTTGTGAACCTATCCTACTAGTTGGCCCGATTGAAGAACTATATATACCAAAGCAACATCCTATATGTATTTGTCATTTCTTACATGTATGGATTCAATGTGCCGAATTGGGGCATGTTTTAGGCGGGACGAGAACCATTATTGCGTATGTGAACCTGTATTTGCTGCCCACTCAATTATTATGTAGTTGGTGAATGATTACATGGCGACATTGTGATTCGTGTTACTGTTAGGACTTCTTGTTCTGTTCTCTCTTTGGTCCCTGACATTGCTGTTTTTTCCCCTCCTTTCCCTTTTGTAGTGTGGACACTGGACAGGTTGTAGTTCTTTTCTCTTCTTTGGTGCTCATTGCTTGTGATGCCGAGACTTTAGTTATTTCCTTTCGATTAATGCATTTCATTTAAAAAATAATTATTTAGTGTCGATTTTAAACAAATGCCAAAAAACCGTCATAAAAACCTGTGGGCCGAAGAAGATTGAAGGCCTGACAAGGTTCTGGCCGCTCAAACCTGTTGGCTTGTGTGCTAGACGATATTTATCATCGGTTTTAAACCGCCACAAAAACTTTTTAGATGTACTTACCTTTTTGGTATATCCCTATATCCCACACCATTTTTTTTTTTTATAATCAGATCCTGGAATGTTATTAATAGCTTGCCATCTCCTTAGCCAAAATATCTAGGACGAAAATAGGGGAAAAAATCACAAGTTACACATGTTTTTTAAAAAAATTCTCAAAATACACACGTTATGAAAATAATTCCCAATCTACGTTAGTTTGGGCCATCACCGCTGTCGACGAAGACAGTGATTGCATCACCGCTGTCGACGAAGACAGTGATTGCATCACTGCAGTACACGGCCGCGGTGAAGGCCTGACCTGCGTCGAAACTTTAAACAAACGTAACTTTGTGCACGGTTATCCGATCGTAGCGAATTTTTTTTTGATTCCGCATAATTTTTCGAGATCTTGCAAGCCACAAATTGCTGTAGGCGGTTTGGTCCCGCCTTCGTCTCGAAAATATGTCGTTTGCTACCCCGAACGAGCTTTTTTTCGATTTCGTCAAACTTTGAACGACCATAACTTTGTGCTCCACAATCCGAAAATCATGAAATTTTTTTTGATTTCGCATAACTTTTTAAGGACTACAATATTTAGTAGGAGAGAATTTTCAAAAAATGAATTATTTATGGATATAAGGGGTTTTGGGAATAACTTTACCTTCCTTTTCAGGAATCCAAGTACATTCTGAAAATATGTCTATGATAAAAATTGTAGTCCTTAAAAAGTTATGCGAAATAAAAAAAAATTCATGATTTTCGGATTGTGGAGCACAAAGTTATGGTCGTTCAAAGTTTGACGAAATCGAAAAAGGCTCGTTCGGGGTAGCAAACGACATATTTTCGAGACGAAGGCGGGACCAAAACGCCTACGGAAATTTGCGGCTTGCAAGATCTCGAAAAATTATGCGGAATCAAAAAAAAATTCGCTACGATCGGATAACCGAGCACAAAGTTACGTTTGTTTAAAGTTTCGACGCAGGTCAGGCCTTCACCGCGGCCGTGTACTGCAGTGATGCAATCACTGTCTTCGTCGACAGCGGTGATGCAATCACTGTCTTCGTCGACAGCGGTGATGGCCCAAACTAACGTAGATTGGGAATTATTTTCATAACTTGTGTATTTTGAGAATTTTTTTTAAAAATATGTGTACTTGGGATTTTTTCCCGAAAATAGGAGGTCTAGTAGAGTCCCAAACTTCTTGGGTCTCCCAGGTACAAAGAGAATGAGCCATAATATGAGCCAGTTCATTACCAGCCCGTTTGACAAAACTCCAATTAATCAACCCAATTCTTTGGCCCTCAGCCTGCAATATCTTGATCACTAGACCCTTCTCCAGCCTCGGGCACTCCGTCTTCTAAAGCGCGATCTCCACCTGCTGGCAGTCCGTCTCCACCACCGCCCGACGAAAACCACTCATTTCCAGCTGCTTCAACCCAAACTCCTCACCTTTCATTTCCGCAATTTATGGTGGCCAACAATGCAGTCAAAATCGCGTTTTAAAACTTAAAAACTTACGATTTTACACTTTTAGGTCACCAAAACACTTTCGTTTCCATATAAAAACTTAAGTGTATAAAATCGGACTAAATTGTGCTTTAAAGCTTAAAAGCTTACGCTTTTACGCTTCTAGTTCACCAAAACGCTTTACGTTTTTACGCTTTTAGTTCACTAAATGAGTATTCTTTTCATGAAATTAATTATAAAATGTATATTTTAAAAGTAAATCACCAACAATATTATACATTTGATATTAAAAGATACATATCATGTACTTGGATGCATTCTCAACTTTAATAGAGTAATCTAATTCACCAGCTAGGCTCTTCCCGAATGCATTAGCATAGAGGAAGAAGTGGCTTATTGTTAAAATTTATGTTTACAAACTTATTATTAAGATGCTACAAGTTGCTCTACTTGAGGCATGAATTGCATGTATTTATTAACTTATCTAAATTCCGTGCATTCATATTTTACATAGTATATGTCCTAGCTTTTTAGTTATTTTTCAGTATGCTTCAAAAACTTACGCTTTTACGCTTTGATTCTACGCTTTATGATTTTACCCCTTTTCCGTTTCTTAGTAGAATCGTGCTTTTGACTGCATTGGTGGCCAACATCGTCGCTTCCGCCGCACCGCTGCCCGGAGGAAGCCTCCATTCTCATCTCGCAGGACCATCCCAAACCCCGTGCCCTGACCTGCTATCACTGCCGCATCCACGTTCACGTTCACCCACCCAATCAGCGGCCGCTTTCAGGTAATCACCTCTGTCTCTTTGATCTGTTCCTCCTGCCTATGGTATGATGCGTACTCCTCCCAGTAGGCTAGGGCCTTCCCGACAATTTCCCATTATTCTGCCTTTTTCCGGTTGAACAATTGATTATTCCTCTCATTCCACATCATCCATAGTACCACCACAAATTGCTCCAACATTTCGTCATTTACCCGTTCCATAACCTCGCACATCCACCCGCACGATGACACCTTTGGCTCCAACTCGAACAGATGTCTAAAATCCGATTGCCTCCAAACCCTAATCGCCCACTAACATTCACGGAAGATATGGTTTTGCGTTTCTTCCAAATGGCAAAATGAGCACTCAATTGCCGCTTCCTCCTTCCTTTTTTTAATGTTCTTACCTGTTGGGAGAATATCATGAATCAATCGCCAGGTAAAAATCTTGACTTTTGCCGGTATCTTGACCTGCTAGAGTCTTTCCCAATTCATGGGGTCATAGACTTCCACCTCCGGCTCCTCCTCATCTTCACCTCCACTGTCATGTTCGTGCGTATTTGATGAGAGGCTTCTTCGCTACATCTTTGTAAGCTTATAGGCTGTTTTTACTCGAGTTCTTTAGATTGATAGTCAATATTCCTAACTAACTGGACTACAACAATGTTTATGTATTTTTTGAATTAAAGAGAGAAAATACTGAAATATCTCAAAATCATAGGACTATCCACCGCAACAATCAATCATCGAATTAATTAATAACTCTAATTATTTACAAAGTGAATCATCATGATATACCTAGCTTTATAAATCAACTAAGTGAGTTCCTCTAATCACACAATTCTTCACCAAGAATCAAATAGTACATTTTGAGTTTATGTAAGTCTTACAACTTTTACATTTATTAGGTTACATGAATTTGCAGTTTGTAGGAATACAATGATTGTTTACAAAAATGCTATAATATTTTTTTATTTCAAAACATAAAATTTGACATTTGTGATCTATGATTTTGTAATGAGACATTTTCAATGCTATAAGTGAATGACCAAAAGTCATTGGCTAACAATTTCTCTAATGGTTGACAATTATAAGCATAGAATTGAAATACTAAATACCATTGACAAATGAGCCAATTATCATTGGCTAAATTTAACAAACAATGGTATGTGTATATACATTGGAAATTCTATGGTACGCTCGATGGATTGAGAGTTATTGCATCTCCTTAGTTAAATAACATTATCTAGACCATAGATTAATCACGTAACGAAACCCTATATCATAATTCTCCAAATCCTAATATAGTGCATATGGTATGTTGTATACATCTTGGCAAATCAGAATCATTGATTATGTTTTTTGTATATGTAATATTAGGGTTTAATTTCTATAGATTTAAGGTATATGATTTAATTATTTGAAACGTAATCTCCCTTTTCAAATTTCCTGCAATGAGAGGGAAATTAGGAAGGACATTTTTGTCTTCACAATTATCTGTATTTTTTTATTTATTTACAAAAAAAGATAGACATATTGAGATTTGAACCATTGTCACTTCAAACAAAGTGAAGGTTTAAAATCAATAAGACTATGTAGATTTGTTGTATTTTTTTAAATTAAAAATATATACGAAGCTAAAATATGAAATTACAGAACTTTTCAACAGTTAGCTAGCCCAATAAATATTCCGTAAGTACTTATTTGGTGTTTTGATACTTCGATTTTGATATTTTTTATTTTAATTATAGTTTAATACTTAATTTAAAATTTTATCTATCATATAAATAGACAATAACCATAAATTTGCCACTAAAATATTTTTGGTTCGAATTTTTCATATCGAATTATAGTATTGAATATGTAGAAGCAATATAGAATTCTTAAATTACCATTAATTTCTAGAACTATAGTGAAACAATCATATCTTTGAGCAAACTATAGGGGACTGGTTCTCTGAATATTTTTGTCCGGTTAAATACTAAGTTTTGAAACTCTTCCTAGGGGTGTACGTGGGTTGGTTCGTTTGGTTTTAGATATTTTAATCACCTAACTCATATACCACGATTTTGAAAACACTAAATACAAACTCACCCAAACAATTTAGAATTTTAACGGTCTGTGTCCTCTATACCAAATGAACCAATTTACATGTCTCTTAACTAAGGACGATCTCCTAGTCCAATCCCATCATTCTAATGTCAATCCAAAAAGTAACCCATATTCGCGTTTGTTAACACATGTTTCACATTGTCATTACTGTGACCGGTAACTTCGCTGCAACTGATTCGGTATTGCTCATCATATGGCCTCCAAACTGATCAACATATTGGGCTAGCTGTTTTATGACAAAACTCAAAGTGAAGACAACTCATCGTCTGGTGGAATTTTGGCGCTCGCTGGTGTCCATTAATCTAATGCAAGCATAATGATTACTAAAATTAAGCTTTCACGCAACACACTGGGAGTTGGAGGTGTGAAATTGGAGTAAAAGTTGATATTGGGTTTGGGAAGGGAAGTGGTGAGGGGAAGAAATTGTGTTTGGATTTTGTAGCAGGTAAAGTTCAATGTTCGGTTTCTTTTCGTAAAATGCTTCGATTTATTTTAGTTAGAGGTATAATATCATGGTTATGTGGGATCAAATGAACCAAAAATGAGATCGGGGGATGGGAATTCCAACTTAGAAGGAGTGGATTAGATTTTGATAAACTCAAGTTCATGATTATCTGAAAGAATATTTAGATTTAGACTTTGTGGTATTGAGATGTTCATAGAGAGTTTAAAACTGATCCAAGGCCATGGATTGATATTGGT